TTGACTTGAAATAAAAAGAGGGGATGATGCAAGGTAAAGCAATTGGGTCAAAAAAAAAAAAAGAAAAAGAAATGTGATTGAAAGAGGTTATGATTGTTTTTGAAGGTGTTCACAGTTTCCCAGAGCTTATGCTGATATATTTTAGATGTTTGATTAATTTGATAATAAACTGAATAATAAATGTAAATATTTCTTCTTTAAAAGCAATAAAGGAAGACTAATAGCTTAAGTCAAATAAAGTATTAACTTTCTCTATGTTTATTCATAGACTGGAAAAAAATCTGGTGTTTTTTTTTTTACACCTTCCCCCTCAATATGATTTCATGATTAGAACTTACAGGCATAAAATAAGCTAACAATCTTTCTTAAGCATCTGGGGTGGGGGGAGATTAGTTCTTTAAAGATGAAGGCAGGTAATTAAGTAGCTTTCATCGGGTCCCTAATGTGACAATTTCTAAAAGTAAGTTAAATATTTATTTATTGAATGAAAAAAAAAACATGTCCAGTGCCCAGACAATGCTTCTTCAGCAGGTGGTGTCTATCCATGGTATCAGGGTTGAGAAACAGACCAAGAAAATGAGTTGAAGATTCTTAGTCCATAGTCTATTGTAACCTAGCTGCGAAACTTTTCTGAAGTTGTCCTGTCATGTGAATATGTTTTCTAAAATGATACCAGAAATGCTGAATCATTCCTCTCTTAGGGGATCTTTTTAAACTTTACTACATTTAAAATTTCAACTATATTTTTTAAGTTTAAAAGAAATCCTTAAATTTGAAGTCTATGGGGTTTTTAAAATACATTTATATTTTTGTTTTTCAAGTTATCTTAGAATCATGACTTCTTCAAATACTGTTTGGGCCTGGGGACAGACCGTGTTGATTTATGCACATCCCAGACATAAAACCAGGCAGGGCATAATTGGGCATGGGTGCCCCTCAGGTCACTGAAAAGCAAGCATTATCTGTGAACTCAAACCACGGTCAAGTATTCTAGTGAACATGCTGCTTCGTCCAGCTGCCCAAGTGTAATGAAAAGGAGACCATGGTGATGTCAGACGTCATCCTTTTTTGAGATCCTTAGTACTTTTCTTTGAAGTGTGTTCTTTTGGGAACACAATTACAGCAGTCGTGT